AAACATAACTTCAATTAAAATAGATTAATAACTTTCGTTAACCTAAATTCCAATTAATTATTTAAGGATAAACTCAATAGTGAAAGTATCTCCATGAAATGGCAAACTCCGGATTCTAGTGTATGAATGAAGCTAACAATGGAAGAGATGGCACGAACTATTACTACGTCTAAATGCATGAGAATAACCTGGCAGCAAAAGGGATATCATGTACAACAACTTCAACTAAGAGTAACTCAACAATAAATGAGATCACATAATGATAAAAGCGGTAACAACCTCAAGTAAAGCATATAAGAGCAAACTCGACAAGTAAAGAATGTGACATGTAACGACAACTTCAAAAAAAACATGTGATAGTACACATGGGCAATAAAAGATACAACATGTACTAACAATTTCAAATAAATACATGAAAGAAGACTAAGAGACTAAATCAGTCAATTTCCACATATAAGCCCGACTTTATAATCGTCACCTCGCGTACACGGCTTTCACATAACACAATTAGCACAAATGATTCAAATCCTAAGGGGTACTTCCGCCACACAAAGTTAGGCAAGATACTTACCTCAAAGAAGCTAAACTGATACTCTAAAATGACCTTCTCGTGTGAAACAATCTCCGAACGGCTCAAATCTAGCCAAAATAACTTAATATCATAAATAAAACCCATATAAAACAATTCTGGATAATAAAGCTTCGATCTTTAATTAATACTAAAAAGTCAATCCAAAAAGTCAATCTCGGGCCCACACCTCGGAACCCGACAAAATTCGAACACTCATTTTGATACGAGTCCAACCATACCAAAATTCCCATTTTCCTCTCATTGAATTCACTAATTTAATGATAAAAATAATTATGGAACCATGAAATATAATCAATTCCGGATAAAGAACACTCACAACAATCCAACACGTGAAGAACCCCTCCAAAATCGTCCAAAACCGAGGTCTACAACTCAAGATATGATAAAAATGGGCAAACCCTCGAATTTAAACCTTTCTACCATGGATTCCGCATTTGCGGATAAAGTAACGCACCTGCGAGCCCGCATTTGCGAGCAAAATCGCCGCACCTACGGCCTTCTTTTAACAGCCCAGAACACGCACTTGCGATCCACTAATCGCATATGCGATTCCCTAGAAGTGCCAAAAACTCCTAGAGGCGGATGATCACCTAGAGTCTCTATCTCGCATCTGCGATTAATATCCCGCAGATGCGATAGTGCACCTGTGATTCCTCAATACTCACTCACAAAAGAGGAACAACTGAAACCAACTCGCAGAGGGGACAAATTCACGCAGAAGCGGCCCCGCACCTGCGCTCCAAAATGCGCAGGTGCAACGCACCAGAAGCAAACCTACCCAAAACATAGAAATGATCTGAAACTCGTCCGAAACACACCCGGGGCCCCGGGACCCCATCTGAACATACTAACAAGTTCCATAACATAACACGGACCTGCTCGAGTCCTCAAATCACATTAACCGACATCATAACTATAAATCGCAACTCAAATCGAACTTAATAGACTTATGAACTTTCAACTTCAACAACTCGCGCCGAATCATACAAAATCAATCCGGAATGACGTCAAATTTTGCGTGTAAGTCCCAAATGACATAACAGAGCTATTCCAACTCTTGAAATAATCCGAGCTCAATATCAATAAAGTCAACTCCCGGTCAAATCTCTCAAACTTCCAAACTTTTAACTTTCCAATTGTTTCTAAAATGCATCAAATCGACCTACGGCCCTCCAAATCCAAATCTGTACATACGCCTAAGTCCAAAATCACCATACAGAACTATTAGAATCATCAAACCCCTATTCCGGAGTCTTCTATCCAAAAGTTAAACTATGGTCAACTCTTACCGCTTAAGCTTCTAAAACAAGGATCATCCTTCAAAATCAATCCCGAATCATCCGAGAACCGAACTCGATACACACGCAAGTCATAATACATAACACGAAGCTACTCAAGACCTTAAGCCACCGAACGGGACTCTAATTCTCAAAACGACCGGTTGGGTCGTTTCATTCTCCCACTCTTAAACAAACGTTCGTCCTCAAATGTGCCAAGAACCATTCTGAAGTCATCAAATCACTGAATGAACTCACCATACATATACTCGCGGGTGATCCCAAGTTTCCCCAATCCACATAAGCATGACAACACCATCTCAACTGAAGGTAATTCCTTCCACCCACACTGATAAACCTTAGAATTAAATTTTTCACCATCCGATCATTTCCCAAAAACCCGATTACCACATCAACCCATGGTATCAACCTTAACAAGCTGCAAGAACTCATACCTACACCCACAAGGTAAAACCACATGACGTAAAACATCATACATATGCCCATAACAACATCTCTGACCATCATAGCTGCCCATAATCAAATTCAGCACCGACAATTAAACTCATATCAGCTAGAACCATGTTCCCAACCTTCACAACACTGACAACGATGCAAGAAACATGAAGATCTCATGACCATTCACTCAAATCAACAAGTAACACCCAACAACACATAAGCACACACCTCGCAAGCTAAAATCCAATAAGCACAACGCGAAT